AGGATGCAGCCCATGAATTCTAACACAGCCCTTGTGTTGGCCTCCTAAAGGAGCCAGGATGTGGATCTACGTCACTCCAGCCTCTCAAACGCACCATAATGTGCTGACGTAGATCCTGGCCTCTGATTGGGTAAATCACACCATATCTCAAATGTAGACCAATCACAGTGGCTGTAGCCATTATCACTGAGAACCATTCCATGCTCTGCTGCTCTTTGACATGTTGAGGATTTACACAAATCAATGTTAGCCTTACGGATTTAAATATTTATTTTTCTACTTATTAATGGAAAGAAAAGGTAATGAACAATAAGGATAAACTATTCAATTTCTATATTTCTAATGTTATATATTTCCATTAATAAAAAACGCGTTTTTGTTTGGACTTCCGGCTCTCCGTAGAAATTTTTCATTCATTGGGGCCAATGCTAGCCTGCTAGCATCTGTTAGCTTTCAGTGGAGCCGGGTCTCTGTTTACATGGCTGTCTCTCTTCTCTCAGACTGAGAGCCGGCTTCAGGTCGCACGCAGAGCCGCCGAAATCCGCCGGAAGTGCCGGTGTCAGAGCTGCAGGTTGCTGTGATGGTGGACTATGAAGCTAAAGCTAAGGCGGTGGCAGACTGCCTGCTGAGCTACCGGAGGGATGAGTCCGGCTGGAAGGTCTGCCGGAAGTCGGTAAATATATTTCCGTCTGGGTCTGATGGTTCCGATCGCTGCTGGGATGAATCCAGAACCGGGTGACACCTTCATCCAGTCTACATAGACCTCCCCCCTAATACCGGTCCTTCAGGGTCTGCTGCTCGGGTCTCATCAGGAATCAGGCTCTGAACTGGGTGTCCTGGTCCTGGTTCTCTTCTGGTTCTGTCCTGTTCTTCTGGTTCTTAACAGATGATTCTGAGGAACGTGGACGTTCTAAACATGGCTGTTCTGTCTGGTTCTAGATGGTTAATATAGAACCGTGTTTGCTCAGTCTGACGAACGTAGACGTTCTAAACATGGCTGTTCTGTCTGGTTCTAGATGGTTAATATAGAACCGTGTTTGCTCTGTCTGAGGAACGTAGACGTTCTAAACATGGCTGTTCTGTCTGGTTCTAGATGGTTAATATAGAACCGTGTTTGCTCAATCTGAGGAACGTAGACTTTC